AGTCAGAGGGCAGAAGAGGGGTTGTTGAGGTGGTTTGGTTATTTAGAGAGAATGGATCAAAGTAGAATGACATGGAAAGCATATAAATCTATAGGGGAAGGAAGGCGAGGTAGGGGTCGTCCTCGAAAGGGTTGGAGAGAGGGAGTAAAGGAGGTTTTGTGGGCGAGGGGCTTGGACTTCCAGCAAGCGTGCGTGAGCGTGTTAGGGGTGAATGGTGACGAATGGTATTTGGGACCTGACGCTCTGTTGGAGTGTGAGCAGGGTAATATTTAATGAAGGGATTCAGGGAAACCGGTTATTTTCATATAGACGGACTTGAGTCCTGGAAATGGGAAGTACAATGCCTGCACTTTAAAGGAGGGGTTTGGGATATTGGCAGTTTGGAGGGATATGTTGTGTATCTTTATATGTATATGCTTCTAAACAGTTGTATTCTGAGCACCTCTGCGAAAACAGTGATAATGTGTGAGTGTGGTGAAAGTGTTGAATGATGAAAGCATTTTCTTTTGGGGGATTTTCTTTCATTTTTGGGTCACCCTGCCTCGGTGGGAGACGGCCGACTTGTTGAAAAAAAAAAAAAAAAAAACGTATGTATATGCATATATATTTTCAAGTGTCCATGTAAGTGCATGTATGTGGTAGTGGGTCTGTACCCAGCCAGTACGGCCTCTATTTTCCCTTGGTAATGTGGTACCCCCACACAGGATGCTCGTCTGAGAACCCAGCATCTCTTTCATAGTAAATGCCTTGGTGATATTTTCTCGTTCACCTACAATTGGTGTGACTCATGGTTTGTGGAATGCGATTAATTGTTTCTGAATAGTTATACGTTTTTTATGTTGATATATTTAGGATGATAGTAAATTAAGTATTTTAGCAGCAAGTTGATAATGATAGTATCAAATGTGTCATAAACTGGGTGTTTGTGGGAAACAATCAGGCTGCAGCATTAGGGTTAAAAACAGCAGTTATTACCGGGATTCCTCGGGGATATGTTTAAAAGACAATATTCAAAATAAAGTTGCTGGTAATGGCAAATCAATTGATCAACAGACAGAGATAGTAGAGGGCAACGAGTGACTAGCTCCCTTAAAATTTACTATACAAATGGTAGGAGTCTAATAAGATAGATGAGCTAAGATTACTTGCAAGTGCAGGTAATATAGATATTATTGGTATAACAGAGACCAGGTTAAACTTGAAAGATAGAGAAATGCCTTCTGAATGCAACATACAGGGTTATAAACTATTCCACTTTGATAGGGTCAACAGGAAAGGTGGTGGAGTGGCGATGTATGTAAGAGAAAATTTAAATTGTTGTCTTAGACATGATATAAGATTAGAAACATCGAACACAGAATCTGTTTGGCTACAGTTTCTCGAGCGACGTGATAAATTAATTTTGGGTGTGATTTATAGGCTCCCTAACCTTGATAGGGAGGGCAGTAAGCTGTTATGGGACGAAATTCATAAGGCATCTAGATATGAAAATGTTGTGATAATGGGAGATTTTAACTTTAGACAAATTGATTGGAAGAATATGACAGGAAATCTTGAGTCTAGTAACTTTCTTGATACGGTTCAGGATTGCTTTTTAGAACAGGTTGTGACAGAACCAACTAGAGGAAACAATCTGCTTGACTTGGTTCTTGCCAACAAAGATTCACTAATTAATAATCTTGAGGTTAATGATGAGCTTGGGGAAAGTGATCACAAATCACTTAGTTTCAATATATCATGGATTACCCTGATAACTGCAATCAAATCTCTGTCCCAGATTTTCGCTTGGCCGACTTCATGGGACTGAAAAATTACCTGAGTGGGCTAAATTGGGATGTCCTAACTATGGGTCAGGTAGGTGATCTTGGTTGCCAATATGACGTTTTTCAGAGCATAGTTCTAGCTGCCCAGACAACTTTTGTTCCGAGTAGGGAAATTAGATCTAACAAAAATGATCCCAAATGGATGAACAGTAGATTAAAACAGGCATATATATGCGTATCAAAAGAGGGGATGGGCAGTTAAGAAATCAGTATATTCAATTAAAGAGAGAGAGAAAGGAATAAGAAAAGCAAAAAGGGATTATGAGGCTAAGGTCGCAAGGGATTCAAAGACTAACCCAAAAGGGTTCTCTCAGGTATACAGAAGTAAGATTAGGGACAAGATTGGCCCAATTAAGAGTAACTCTGGTCAGATCACTGACAGTGATAAGGATATGTGTGAAATTCTCAATACCTACTTCCTCTCAGTTTTCACCCAGGAAAATACTAGCGATATTCCTGAAATAATAGATTATGTAGAACAGGACGATAATAAACTATGCACGATTGCAGTTACTAGTGACATGGTCCTCAGACAAATAAGAAACAAAAACCAAACAATCCCCAGGCCCTGATGAACTGTTTGCAAGGGTTTGTTAAAGGAATGTAAAAGGAACTTAGCATACCTTTGGCAATCTTTTTAAACATATCACTACAAACTGGCATAGTGCCTGATAAGTGGAAAATGGCAATGTAATACCTATTTAAAAGGGCAGGTGACAGGCCCTTTGGCTTCGAACTATAGACCAATAAGCCTTACCTCCATAGTGGGAAAATTTATGGAGTCAATAATTGCCGAAGCAATTCGTAGCCATTTTGATGGGCTACGAATTGATTAATAATCTCAACACGGTTTTTACAAAGGGGCGTTCCTGTCTTACGAATTTACTAACTTTTTTCACTAAGGCGTTTGAGGAGGTAGATCATGGTAATGAATATGATATCGTGTATATGGACTTCAGTAAGGCTTTCGATAGAGTTCCACATCAGAGGCTATTGAGGAAACTTAAGGCACACGGAATAGGAGGAGAAATTTTTTCCTGGGTAGAGGCATGGCTGACAAATAGGCAGCAGAGAGTTTTCATAAATGAGGAGAAATCAGAATGGGGGCACGTCACAAGCGGTGCTCTTCGGAGTCAGTGTTGGGCCCGTTGTTGTTCACAATTTACATAAACGACATAGATGAGGGTATAAATAGCGACATAAGCAAATTTGCTGATGACACCAAAATAGGCCGTCCAATTCATTCTAATGAGTACACTAGAGCACTACAGGATGATTGAATAGACTGATGCAATGTTCGGAAAAGTGGCAGATGCAGTTTAATATTGACAAACGCAAAGTTCTAAATGTTGGACAGTTAAATAGCCATGCCACATATAAACTATATAATGTAGATCTTAATACTACCGATTGCGAAAAGGATTTAGGAGTTCTGGTTAGCAGTAATCTAAAACCAAGACAACAGTGCATTAGTGTTCACAATAAAGCTAACAGAATTCTTGTCTTCATATCTAGAAGTATAAATAATAGAAGTCCTCAGGTTGTTCTTCAACTCTATATATCCTTGGTTAGGCCTCATTTAGACTATGCTGCTCAGTTCTGGTCACCGTATTACAGAATGGACATAAATGCTCTGGAAAACGTACAGAGGAGGATGACAAAGTTGATCCCATGTATCAGAAATCTTCCATGTGAGGAAAAGACTGAGGGCCCTGAATCAGCACTCTCTCGAAAGGCGTAGAAATTTTGGGGGATTGGTCGAGGTGTATAAATGGAAAACAGGAATAAATAAAGGTGATTTTAAATAGCGTGCTGAAAAAATTTCCAGCCTAGACAGGACTCGCAGCAATGGTTTCAAGTTGGAAAAATTCAGATTCAGGAAGGATTAAAAGGAAAGCTCTGGTTTGGTAATAGAGTTGTGGATGAGTGGAACAAACTCCCGGAAAAGTTATTCAGGCTAAAACGTTGTGTAGTTTTAAAAAAAAGGTAGATAAATAAATGAGGGGGTGTGAAAGGGGGGGTGAGTTGGACCTGACTACTTGTGCTGCTGGGTCTGGTGCCGAGCTCCATCATTGAGTGAAGGGGACCAGACTGGGTGGGTCATTGGGCTTATCCGGGGGGGGGGGGGGTAGGTCATTGGGAAATCCGAGGGGGACAAATGGACCTGCTTCGCATGAGTAGTAGGGGCCCGTT